GATTATTGGGCCGTGCATTATCGGGTCGTACATTATAGGGACCCAAAATTATAAAATGGAGAATTACGAAAGTGTAATTGTGTAAATAAATTCCAGCATGAAAAAAAATGGTACGGACATTTCATTCCCCAGGTAAAACGATTATTCTTCTGAAATATTTTATATAAAAAAACCTTAGATTAGAACTAGATAAGTAGTTATTTTTAAGTTAAAAAACGTATTTTTTCTGTTATTTATTGTACATAAAAGTAATTATTTATTATATTTAACCTTTTATTAACCATCATAGGCGAAGCCAAAGCCCAGAGACTAGCTGGCTGGGCCACTTGATGAGAATAGGGGAGGATCGTGGAGCCAAAAAAGCGTATTTCGCAATACCGATTGGCCGCCGACCCGTCGCTCGGCCCCGATACTGCTGGTGAAAGCCCGTAGAGCTGGACCTGCGCGAGCTAGAATCGATCGACTGGCAGTCGACGACGCTGGCGCCCTCTCGTGTCTAAGGCCAAAACCTACTTTGGGTCGCTGCGCCAACGCAGTAAGTAACTTTTTATTATCATAGCTACGTCTGTCTCAATCATAATGATATGTTATTATGATCTCTAGTACCGTATCTCTAATACAGTAAGTGAAGGTACGAATTAATCACGGTGGTACGGATGTTTAGGACTGGGTGAGATGATGGGAGCATGACGCCAAATATCAGGTATGAACTGGGGAAAAAAGTATAATATTACTTGTATTTACGGTATTTTTTATTATTTTGGCTTACAACCATGTTAAGTTCTTTGATGCACAGATATCAATTTATCAGTATAATTTAATTAATCGGATAAAAACAATATAGTAATAAAATCCCAAATCGAGAAAAGTTTTTATTTTAAAAACAGATAATAAATTTTATAAAACGGAAAATATATTGCAAACAGTTATTTTTTGTAGGTTTTGTTCATCTCTTTCTTGAGTAACGCTAAACGTGTGAGACAGGCGTCTCTCCACGCTCGGCGTTCTTGCAGCTTGTCGATGGGAACCATAGAATTCAATTGGTTGCAAATAGAATCCGCAGCTTTACTTTGCGTCATCTTTGGTATATCGCCCATCGTTGTACTCACTTTATAAATGGTATCCCCATATCTGTGGAAATAAATATAGGTATTCAAATTAGTTGGGAAATCTGGCGAATGCGTTTTGTACTACTAAAAAAATTAGATCACTGACTGAAATTCAGAGTAGCTAATACCATATGAACTTAAGTTCTAACCCTTTGATGTCATTACCTTTCAATGTAGCTCTTCATTCCTTCAGCATTTAAATGTGCGGTTTCAAGGGACCCAAGGAAAGCATACCGCATCCCGAGACCTTCAGAAATGACTTTATCGACGTCTTGCACATCAACGATTCCACCCTCGAGTAACCGCCACACTTCATTTAAAATTGTATATCTGAAACACAATTTTAAATATAAAATTAACGATGAAGGTACATAGAATTTCACAAATGGGTTAACATTTTTATCATTACATTAGATGTTGCTCGCGATTTCGCCAGCGTTAAATTAAAAAATAATAAAAACAGCCTGTGTTATTCACTGATAACGAAACTTTTTAATGTCGAAAGAATTTTTGATATCGGCCCAGTAGTTATTGAGTTATTTCAATACATACAAAATACAAATCTTCCTTCTTCATATTTGTATTGATTGATAATCAATGAAACACAGACTATAAATAAAGCCAATTAGGAAAACTTACTGGATGCGATTAAGGACGAAGCCTTCAAGTTCTCTGGACAGTGAGACGGGCTCTTGGCCAATCTCGATCATTATTTCCCTAGTCTTCTTCGCTACCTCAGGTTTAGTCCAAGGAGCGGGTACAATTTCAACTAAAGGCACGTAGTACGGCGGATTGACTGGATGCGACACGATGACCTATGAAAATATTTTTTGAATAAACATAAAATTTAACAAACTGCGAAGATTTCTATTTCTACGTAATATTTTTATAACTACTAGGGCGTTGGCCGCATTTGTCTAAAATCTCTATTTAACAGAATATTAATTACTCGTTTATTTTTGATACAAAAAAGGCTTCTTGGAGATTGGTTATATCAGTGTGATGAATTCAATTTTACCTGTGATTTATGTTTCAACCCTTCGGAAAACAAAGAGGGTACAGTGGTACTGGTAGAACTTGATAGAATTGTTTTGTCATCCACAACTTTGTCCAAGTTTTGGAATACCTTCTTTTTCAAATCTAAGCTTTCTGGTACACATTCTTGAACGAATATGGCATCTTTGACGGCTGTCGCTAAATCTGTCGATCCTAGAAAAGGTGAACATTAAATAAAAATGATGAACTTAAGTGTATTATTATTGTTTTTGAGAAAGTTCAGAAATGTTTAGGATAATCATCCATGATGTACAAAGTATATGCATTTCAAGGTTTTGTATTATACATATTTTGTATACCTTATGTACACGTCGCAATAAACCTATGTAAATATCTACATAACACTTGCCCCTTCTAATGAGATTTTTATCGGAAACACTTATTGCGTGCACATGTATTGGCTTACTCTGATTACACTACGTAAACAGTTCCTACTATGTGATAATGAATGGAAAAGTTTAGAAATCTCCGTAATGAATATCTATATTAATAGTATTATATAAGGAGGAAAGATTTGTATTTTTGTATGTATTAAAATAAAAAAAAAACCGGCCTATTTCTAAAGCTACGTTATGAGTGAGTAACATAGGCTATTTTACGCGGACGAAGTCGCGAGCAGCAGCTAGTATTTTATAAGTAATTATAGTATATTACAAGTCATTAATCTTATTACTAATGGGCTCGAATACCTTTTAAAAATTACGTTAAACACAAACAGATCACAACGAACCTGTAATACATTTGAATTGTTGGTCTGCATTCAGTGTACCACGCAGAAGACCGTCTTTTTCCAAAGTTTTCAGTTGCACTTCAATGTCTTTGAGGGCGTCTGTGACTTGCTGCGGTACGATATCAAACACGGTTACTTGGTAGCCCACGGAAGCGAATAGCATCGCCCATGACCTTCCAATCAGACCACTGAAAAATATAAAAGAATACTAAAGCATTATATTGTTTTACAATACAGGGATATCCTTTTAGATGCAAGTTATAAAAGTATTTTTAAGATTTAATCATACTTATATTATAAATGCGAAAGTTTAGATAAATGGATGTTTGTTAGAGTTCTGAAAGGCTGAACGGATTTCAATGAAGTTTGGTATAGGTGTAGAGGATAGTCTGGAAGAACATATAGGCTACTCAATATTTTTTTTATTCCACGCGGACGTAGTCGCGGCCTAAAACTAGTGTCTATATAATAATTATTTAGATATTAAGTTCATTTTGTTACATAATTTTTTGAAGTCATTGACCAAGGTCAAGATCTTTGAGAACTATTCGAAGTCTATATAAATATACAAATGTATCACGTTTGTTATTAACCTTTCGACCTTAGATAATTTTATCAAACAACATAAAATTTGCCTTTTAAAGTTTAGTATTTGAGATACTCATGAGAAAATTACATAACTCCGGGTCAACGTAACCACTAACTTTATATAACTGTTCCATAAAGGAAAGTACAGTACCGTGAACGAAATGGGGTTAAACGGGTAATCGTTGATGACTCGAAAGTATCTATATCTCGGATCATTTGTAAGATTTTGTCGTACAAAGATCTAAAATGTAAATATTTTAATATATTATTTTTATACAATTTACCTATAGTAAAGGAAAAATCGATTTGAATCTAAAATTCGACTGATAACATTTTGAGAATACTGTATTTTTATATTGACTATGCCGGGATTACATTACTTATTTGAACATTTGAAATAATTTGATTTGAATACAAAATCTTTTAAGATTGCAGGTAACATGCCTAAGAAACATTGAGGTAAAGGCCATCGTATCATTGGAATGTTAAATATTCATTCTTAGTTGTAAGAAAAAATTAAATAACTGAGACAAATCGATTCCACACCGACGATACAAAGTTAGCTAACTATCATAAAGTTGTGTAGTTTGTATACAAACAATTTTATAAAAAAAATACTGGATTGCAAACGAAAGCGATCTTTGAAATCCTTATTGTTGGCCTAGTTCTAGCACTAACGGCGCTTGGTCGATAATGACGACAAAACATTAAAAAGTAGACGACTGTATAGTTTTATCATTATTTACAAACACGTTTAACGTTTATGTTAATTTTGCGCGTTAGTAAATATATGTTCTAATTTCTTATCTATATTTAAAACATTACTTAATTTGATAGTTCTATGCTAAGTTATTGCAGTGTATCTAGCTTCTTTCTCCTTTAACTGTTAGGTATTTATAAACTTGAATGAAGAAATTGACAATGAAAAGAATACCTAATAATAAGACACAGAAATAAGTTTTTATAGCAAATGGAAGTCAGAGTATAAACTTGTTGCATTATAGTGAAAGATGTAAGGACTAACCTGCCCACAATTCCGACTTTTTCCTTCTTCGTCGACATATCGAATACGTGCACTGTCTGGAGAACTAGGGCCGAATGAATGTGACTTCGTCGCGCGCGCCTTAATAACACCGAAGCCAATCGTTATTATCTCCCTCGGTACACACTGCTCAATTTTAAAAACAATACACAATATTGTTATTTTAAATAATCATTATTAAATAGATCGTTAATTAATGTAGTTAAATATATTTAGTTCGTTTGTATTTTAGATAATATTTTTGAAGACAGTTTGTGTATAACAGTACATGCACTTAAATGACCTAAATTAAAAACATTATGTTGCTTTTTTGGACTTTACCATTATTGGTTCATTAATAAAAACTCGAAAACCCGATCCTTTTTTTTTAAATCCTGATTTCTTAAACCTAACCCATCCCATGTTAATCTTACTTCGTATTAATATTATAAATGCGAAAGTTTAGAATTCTGGATAAATGGATGGATGTTTGTAGCCTAAGCGTCCGAACGGATCTCGATTAAATTTGGCATAGACGAAGAGGATTGTCTGGAAGAATAGATAGTTCTTCCTTTAGTTCTTTTGAATTCTACGCGGGCGGTGTCGCGGGTGATAGCTAGTGCTTTCATCAGTTCTTATAACTCACTTAGTAGGCAAGTCTATCTCAATAGTGAAATAGTTGGACACAATTAGTATGTCGTCATTACTCCTACCGTCTTCTCCTTTAGATTTTGCAATGACTGAGGTGGCTAAGAGTGCGGAGTCTTCATGTTCAGAAATCAAACACAATTTTTAGTTAATATCACAATCGGTTTTTACGTTTGTTAATTTTTATTTGTTTTCATAACTTATTTTACAAAATGAATGTAACTTAAAAGAAAATTCATTTTAACAATACAAATAATGTAAAAATAACTGCACATATATATTTTCATACTGTTATGTAATTTTAAGATATCCATTGGCTTTTCTTATCTCTGTACAAGTCATGAGACAAATTTAAATTGGTACAATATTTTCAACCAATACAAAATGTATTTACAGGTTTTACATAAATGTTCTCGAATTATGATAAACCAAATTACATAAGTAGATAATAATTACAAATGCGTCAATGTATTCCGTACAATTTATAAAATAAACCCATGTTTGACCTTAAAGTGACATCAAAATAAATACTGTCTAACTAGTATTTTTTTTATTAATTACAGTAAAAATTAAATATTTGAATATTGAATTCCGATAGCTTTCATCAAGCGTTATTTTTATACCTTTAAAAAACTGTTTTTTCAGAACATAGTATTTTTCACGTAGGCTATATTAATAAGGCATTCGTGTGCTAGTTGAATAAACTGCAATACTAGATAATAACAGATCCATAATAACATAGTGATAAGAGATCGTAAATTGTAAGTTTGCACGAGGCCTGGTCATAGTCACACAATACTGCTTAACAATGGTTTTAATCAATTCTTAATCCAATGGAATCGTAATCTAGATTTTATATAATAAGTTTGAGCTATCTGCAAATACATGAACACTACAATGAAAAGAGTCAATAACTATTACATTATTAACAAGATATAATAACACATCAACATGTCCGAAATTCTTAGTCTAAATGTTAAACGACTTAAAAACTAATTTGCATGATGTACTTAAAGTAGCGTCGTAGTACTACTATAGCGGCGAACTTTGTCAAAGCATAATTTAAGTATTAACTTGATATTGGACGGTAACATTTTAATCAGTTAATATAACAACCTTATTTGTTTTATTAATATTATGCTTCGCATGCAGTGCCTTTAATAGCCTCGGATGTGCTAATGCTGAATATTCTATAGTTCCCTTGGTTTGGATCAAGTGTTTTGTAAAGGAAACGAGGCAATTTGTCACTCAGAACCCACATTGTGCCTTCGTCGTCGACCTGAAAGTAACAATAGTGTTAATACATTTCAAGTTATCTTACGTATTTACAAGAATAAATAGAAAAAAGGGACCTTCAAATCATCATGCAACAAGCTTATTATGACCTTGATTTTCTAGGAAGATATTCGCATACGTACTACCCGTTCACAACAACATAAGACCTGTATCCGATGACGTAAGTTTCCACTTCGTTTACTCCATACTACACTCATCTCTTTTTGTGTAATACAATGTAGAAAAATACTTGATTAGTCTCACCTTGAGGTCGTTAGGGAACTCAAAGAGTTCAGGATCACTGAAGAGCAATGGGTTGTTCTCCGGTGTGTACGGTTTGTTTGAATTCCAACAACCAACGCCGTCGCGATTGACCTAGAAGTTAAAAGAGTTATATAAAATTTTCATAATAAGTGTTAATATAGTAAAGTAACTAACTTGATGTTATCTATTTTATTTCCAAAGGCGCTTAAGATTGGAATAATCTCTAAGACCAGCTATTATTAAACCATTTTAGATTAATACTTTGAAGTCACAATCACGAATAGCCATTTTTATGTAACAGTTACTATAGCAAAAAAAACCTCGGATATTAAAATTTGAAACTTAGCAACATATGCAAAAGCAATTGAAATACCAGGAAGAACAATATTAGTCTCTGTAATAATAATAATTACGTTAAATACAACTAGACTAATTTAAATAATTCAAGTTATAACATACATAAAAGTGAGTTTGAACAATATTATATTGGTAAATCATAATTTAATTACTATGCACTATATTAAACTTGTATGTAAATTTTATTCCACAACGTCTTATAAGTTTCATATTGACATTATGAAATAAATTGCATATGCACTATGCAGGCCTTCTAAAATCCAACTATCCATAATAATCCAAATATCACTAAAATTTTATAGTCGATTCCTTTCACTATAAAAAAATTGGCTAGAAATTACGAAAGCTCACCTGAGTATAGAATAGTACGTGATTCTTCTCGTCGTAGAAACTAGCGGACGCCTGAGTCCTTTCCCCTCTGTCACCTAATAACTGTAACCAAAAATATTTACCTTTAAAACCGGAAACCTTTAACTACTAGCCATTAAAAAATGTACACATTACATTTAATTTTGCTCCAGGTGCCTTACACAACAAGTCATGGGCGTGTTCTTTAATTTAATTTATAAAATTTTATTACAGCTCTAGTATAATTGCGCCAAAAAATAATCATACCTTAATTCGTAACATGCATCATAGACAGATACAATCTGGTTACCATTATTACATAAGTATATTGGATAAGTTTTATATATGCACGGTTTGTTGCGTAGCCGGTAATAAAATTTATGTTATGAATCATTGTTTGAGTTGTTGATCAATAGTTGACATAACTTGATTACCTTCGTAAGTGCACAGAAGTTCAAAAGTTTTTGCCATAATGTTGTACGCGGAAATGATTCGAACAACGCATATCTTACATAAACTTGATATAATTATTTGTATGTAAAGTGATAAAAATGCTCTCTTATTCTAAAGCTATTCATAAAATAACGCTGTATAGGCTTGTTATGAATTAGGCCTCCTTGTTCCCCAGATCGACAAGCTACGAGTAAAGAATAAAGTCATTACATATGTAATGTAATGACATTATGTAGGCATAAATTCTTCACATATTTAATTTAACAGAATTTTTAGCTGAAATTTCCCATTTCCAGGCAGACAGGACTATCCATGTTGATAATCTATAGGTAACGATGTAATCGTCTCGCGACTCCAGGTATAAAGGTAATGAGGTCAGGAAAACAATAGCTTGCACAATCGCTCACATATCCTTATCTCAATTGAAATCTCGTAATAAAATACTCATTGTTTGAGATTTAAAACAATAAACAAATATCCTACCATCTGACAAGAAAAAAGGACAAAATATTATGTCGTGATATCAACCTTACTTATATTATATAAAAAAGCTTAAATATTGTGCCATTATGAAGAAGTAACGGTAATTTAACTGAATATTTGAATTACGTGGTATTAAATACTTCCAAGAATATTCTAGAATGAAGGGTCAATCTTTTCATACAAACCTTAAAGTCATTGAATGCTTCTGACTTGTTGATGTGGGTGTAGTTGCGCAGGAGCTCGGTTGATACGCAGAACTCCTTAGTACTGGAGAAGGCATGGAAGAACATGGTGCGATATCTGAAAGAAATTCATTACGTTATTGCACTACATATTGTCACTGCCGAAACGAGTAAAAACTCTTCCAAAAACCAGAGATAAAATGTTTTAACATTTCTTTCGTCAGTTGAAACTAAAAATGAAGCTATGTCAGACAAGTACTTGAATTTAAATTGAAAGTAACCGAATAAAGTTTTAACGATCTGCACGTTAAATGCCAAAACGATGCAATATAATACATTTGGATAGTCTTCGGCCTCGTCTTCGGAAAACAAATTTAATTTTCGGGTCAATGTCACTAGCTTGCACTGTTATTCTTATTTCCGAACAGGTACCTCGTTTTAAAATAATTTTTAAAACCCTAAAAAAGTCAACTACTATACATTGTTAATCAATTAAAAGCAATATCTCTAAAGGTCACTAACGGTTCCTCAAGGTGTCATTTGTAAACACCTATTCGTGGTCAGATCGATACCGTAAACTATTTGTATTCGTTGTTTATAGAACGTAACCCGGTTGTACTATTCAATATGCACAAAACAAACCAAGGTTTGTACGTGACTCACCCGTTCTCTCTAGGTTCGGACAACGCTAGGCCGAATACTCCGTCTGTCCAATGGAACTCGATGCCTCCAACTCTGTAAGAGCCAGCTAACGGCTCGAAGTGGAAGTAGTGATGAGCCACACGCCACGAGTCGTCTTGTTTCAAGCTGTACACTACCACACCGTAGCCTCCCAAATCAGGAACGTACGCAAATGCATTGTCGCAGCTGTCTTTGTCTACATCTACTACCTAAAATATATTTCAATTAAAAGCACTTTTGTAGCTTAAACAATCGAGTACTTAAAATTTAGAACTTTATTTAACCTAAAACAATGCATTTTTAAACTTTCAATTACTTACGACATTAGCAAAGAATGAGTCTTCTTTCATGTCTTTAACTTTGAAGAAATATCTATGAAGAAGTTGGTCTGTGTTCAAGTCGAAAATAACCAAAGATGGACCTGCTACCTGGTTTCCTATTCCTGAGAACAAATATACAAAAGTAAGTACTGATATTGCAAATATACGATGAAATCGCGTGGAAACTTTGGGATACTCTTTAGTTGCTACACTTCACACTTCATATTCAATCTTTAATTTTCAGTCGAAGTAAAGGTTAACAATATAAACAATCTAGTCATTAAATTGTTTTTAGGCTTCAATCAAATTGATGTGTAGTGCAGACGGATACCATATTTCTACGAACAGACAAGGACGTTGCTAAACATTATTACGTGCATACATATAAATATCTACCGATAAACCTCAATTATTTTTTTGCGATCTTAAATTGAGATATCTTCCACCTATCAAATATTTATTGCTCAATCATAACAATATTTAGGGTAAAATTACCAATTCGACTTTACCAATTATAGACGAGAAAGATGACATGATTTAACACCTATTCATTAAGCTAGCGCGTACCATGTTAAGACTATATTATCACTTTCATCTGGTGGCATCGTGGCCAAGCGCTAGCTCAACGAACATAAAAAACATTGCATCAACCTGCTTAATCTACGTACCGATCTAAGGTATGAATAAAGCTAAAAACTTCGTATTTATTTACTTACCATAAATGTCAGCCAAACCAGAGTCCATCACCCAGAGCCTGTCACAAGGATCAACAAATACTCTGAATACGGAAATAATGGAACTATTTGATGGTAATTCTGTCGCATTATCTGGTACCAGGTTGTCTTTCAATGAAGGATATGCCTTCAATGGTTGGTCCGACGGACCGTCCAAATCGACATAATTCAGAGATGATGCCACACCGCCCTTCCATCTGGGAACTGTGACAAATAATTTGTTTTTCCAACGACCCAAACCTAGTGGTAGGTTATTTGCGGGTAAGAATTGATTTTCCGTTATAGCCTTTTCTCTTTGTGCTGGTGTTTCCCAGAGGTAGTCGACTACTTTCCATTCGAAACGCAGCTTTGGCGTCGCTGCTTGACAAGCGGACAGTGCCGCGAACACGAGCGCGATAGATACTGCCCGCATCGTGATATCTGAAAAAAAAAATTTAGTTGTAAATATTTTATTGTCAATCATATACCTTCATACGGTGAATTTATTGTAGTGATCACTAAGAAAATTAAGTAATATTTTTTTACTTCATGATTTGTCTTTACCCTGGGCAATATTTTAAGCTGACTTTACCATAACTTGAATGAATTATACATACACTGTCCTTAAAATTAATTGCATGCTATGCGAACATCAATAAATCCTCTTATGTCGTAACTAAGCGGTATTGTGGGACAGTTGGCTCGGATCTATAATGAACACTCACGTTTTTGTGGATGATCTTGTTATTGGGTAACGAGATGATGAACCTGTCTTATCTGCAGATCTAGACACGTCTTATGCGTTCCGATTGCTGGGAACTGTGACACGTTACATAAGAACAACTAACGAGCTCCAACTAACAATAGAGTTGTTGCTTTTATTCATTAATTAATTTCTTGTCTCATGACATGATTTGTTATAATACTTTTTCATTTTAAAATAGAAACGCACCCTAACATCGTTTACTAAAACAAAATATATTGTTTTACTGTTACGGAATACGCGCTTTTTATTATTTTAAATATTCCTAGGATAAGTTAAGTAACATAACTTATCACCTTTTTCATTATAAGCTGTCGAGTATATGCTAGAATCGTTCACAACAATAGTCTAATGACCTAATGCACTACACTGTGCTTCGCAATCTGAACGTTGTACTAATTAAACTGTAGGCGCTAATGTTATGCTAATTATTGCAATGATTCAACCTATTAATCTAGTGAACTCTGATAGAAATCCATTGTCTTATAACGGAGTATGGACTGTACATAAAAATGTCATCACATCTTTTTATGGCGACCGAGACTTCATCTCGGAAGTACCGTTGCAGTGACAAAAAAGGCGTTGTTATATTCCTGTTTCCGTTGGGAAAACCAAACTAGCACAATCGACGGAAGTTAAATTGTAATGTTACACGCAAAAATGATGATATCACAGGTTTTAAGCCTGACAACGCAAAACTAATAAGATTTTTTAATTCGTTTCACGTCATAGTATATCTATTTGAATCGCCTAAGTAAATTTCAAGATTCCATGTTAATAATGTAAGTAGGGAGATTGTTACTTTCGCATTGCAATAAAATGTCCTAAAAATAATATGGTAAAAACATTAATGTAAATCAGTTTACTTTAAGAAACATAAGGAGTAACCCAACGTAACATCATAATTTTGAAAATAGTATTTACTAATCACCTCACAAGCTCGACTATCAATGTCGGTACTTCATACTATAAGAATTCCAATTATTTCTTTTATCAGGAAGTATACATAAACTAGTCTTCCGATTTAAAGGTCCTTTAGGCTTGAGAGATAGAAGAGAATGTAGCAATTCACGGCTGACGGCCGTCAAGGCCTGCCGGCGAGCGGTGGCCACTAATGAATTCAAATGACCACAACAACTGTTTAACGTCTAACATACTTAGGAAGCTAAGTACGTAATATAAAACTAAAGTAATTGGAATATAAGATTACAATATTAGTTACATTAATATTTTTCTACAATTTTTTATCTAACTTATCTATCTAGATGTACCATTTTACCTAAAGATATTGTAAACGTAAATATTAATAAATTTGAATTGCCTTTTGCATTTAATTTTTTTATGTGCGATTAAAATATAATCACAGTTAACATACACCTGCAAAACTCGAAAAAAATTGACGAACAATTTCCTTATTCCACTTGATTTAACTGTAGTACTTAATTGAAAAGTAGAATAACTTACATCGCTGTATTATTGCAACAAAAGCACTCATACAACTTTTACGTTCTTTCACTAAACAAATTATTTTATAGTAACCAATTAATAAAATCGTAAACAAAATCAAATTATTTCACATTCGTTCAACTTACGTGTGAGACGAGGTCAAACGGCAACCGACTGCACGGGACCGCGGTCACAGACTAAGCAAATCTCGGTGTCACCACTCTTTATATATTGGCCTTAAATTCGCTATACAATACGCATTGTACCTTTGAAAATTAGATGACATCTCATTGAATCCATTCTCAGAAATTCACATGGAATTCCACCCGAACTTTATACTATTATTTAACTGAATTTCAACAAACAGCAAAGTTTTGATTAGTTATTGTCTTATTATTAGTATGTTATTCAATGCGTGGTATACCTACCATAGGAAAAGTCTTGGTTATTCTGGTAACTAGTCTAAATTTAATTGAATAAAACTCAGTGTAGCTGAAGTTGATAGCACGTATATTAAACACAGCATTCGCCAGAGAACTTGAAACCGATTTTTATCTTCTGAAGTTCTCTAAAAAAAAATACTAAATAACAAAGAATATTTAACAACGTACATGATTATCAAATATAGTAGCAAAAGTTTTATAGATTATCCTTTAACCGGATTTAAAAATTTTACAGCATCAGGCGATCCGTTATCCGGACCAAAAATTTGTAAGAAGTTTACATGATGGATATTATTATTTTACGGGTGACTGACCACAACAACGTATCTATTATTACTGTGTCAAGTTTAAAATTGTCTATTACGTGGAGCGCAACGGTGCAAATTCGGCTCGGATTATTCAAGGCTGGAACTAGCGACTTATCCGTTTTTCATTCATTCCAACCAATTGGTTGTCCATCAGCATTTGATTGCGTACGTGCAAAGTTTAATGCGTTTCGAAACCAATGTGTAAAACACGTGACGACTATGTATTGCTAAATCTATCTTAACTGTTACTTTACTGTAAAAACATAAAATAACTTATAACAGAAATAATTTTCCGCAATTTCTTCGGAGATTAAAAAGTATGAGTTATGAAACGGTTAATACTTAATATTATATTCAAAAGTGTCACTTATTTAACATTTTTAATATGTAACGTAGTTTACAACTTTAAGCTATAACCAACATGTTTATTTTCTGGTACCGAAATTTTTTTTTCAAAATCACCAACAAGATAATTCAGCAAATGCGCAGAAGCATAAAATATATTTAATATTATAAGATTGCAAGCTGATGCATCATCAGCATTTTGGATTGTCACCGAATGACGTCAATTGCGGTGAAAACATTAGTAATTCTGAAACAACTCTGCAAGACTCTACCTTGATTTAGAACAAGTACCGTTTCCTTATCCATATTACTGACAAGTTTGACCACATGCAAAAATACTAGAAAAGAATAAAATGTATTTAAAACAAAAAAAATGTTATTTCCACCGGCAACTGCATTTTGTGTATGCTGAATATTAATTGCTGATAATTACGGCGACTGCTTGTAGCTATCCATAACAACTCGCAGAAATCCCTGTGTGTTTGCCACTGAATAATCTTACTTAATATTATAAATGCGAACGTTTAGATGGATGGATGGGTGTTTGTTAGAGCTTGTTACCTAAATGGCTTAACGTATCTTGATAAAATTTGGTATAGACCTAAAGGATAGTCTGGAAGAACACATAAGATACTTGCTTTTGTGTTTTTAATTCTACGCGAACGGAGTCGCGGGCGGAAGCTAGTAGCTTTATTACATACCTGTAATTCTATTCTATCAATGGCTTCAAGTATTTTAAAGCTTTTGGTCAAAAAGTACGGACCTTATCATGCACATTACAATTTGTGGTTCTATTATTTAAATAATCTTTTCATTTTAAATTAATACAATATGTATTAGTCTATATTTAGATGACCTTACATGTTAATTAGACTTACATATAAATAAACGAAGCGTGATCGGTCAAAGTAACGGAAGACCGTTAATCGTAGAATATCCTGCTTCTGGTTTTTATCATTTAAGTGGGAGTAAGTCCTTTTATTTATAAAAACATTAGGTTTTGCCCGCGACTCCGTCCATGTGGAATAAAAAAATAAATAAAAGTATGTAGCTTATATGTTCTTCCAGACTAACCTACATCTGTGCCAATACTCATAGAGATTTGTTCAGCAATTTAGGCTACAAACTCATTATCCATCTCTCCATCTAAACTTTCGCGTTTATAATGTTAATAACAAGTAAAAATTGTTTTGTCAGGTCTCCCGCTATTTTAACATGTAATTATATCACGGTTCGTTTACAGGATTCGAAGGGAAGGATGAATTCGACGATTCTCATGTATCGATTTAGATTTAGTTTTTGAGTCTATGTCTTTAGTTTTTTTAATTTATATAAAGTGATAAAAACATAAATTTTATCAATACTAACAATGTAACTAAAACAAATACAAAATTCAGACCATTAAAAACTCCGGAATTTTCCATAAGGAAAGTAAACGACAAGTAAGGAAGTCAAAATGCATCTTCGAAGCCCCCAAGCTCTGCGTGTGAATATAAATTAGCTAAACGAGTTATATTATGGAGATTTTGAATGAGGAATAAAAATAAGTTACAAGTTGTATACATTTTTATCTATACTATTATAATAAAGCGGAAACACACACTTCTTTGTTGCCTAAGATGTCAGCAGTTACAGCATATTTTGAACAATTATTTTTTTAATAAAAAGCCCTACACTTACGTCACGCTTTAGGCGTTTATTTTCACGCTATTAAACTTAGGAGGTAAATATTTTGGATAAAAACCCTAATGTGGGAAAGAGAACATAACTTGTTGCCAACATCAAGGTAGCAAGATTGCCGAGGTTTATCATGTCATGTTATGTCTTTTGCTATTGATAATTTGCCAAATGTAAACAATGAAACAAAGTTTTCATAATTTCATGCGGATGAAGCTGCACGGGAACAGCTATTTACTGATATTTCCTATAACGTGTCATCTTCTGACTTGTCCTAGGATATGTTTTACGATAAAAGTTTTTATAAATCAAAAAGTCTACTGCATCGTATTTATTTAATCTAATAATTAAAGTTTCTCATTGGGACCAGTTTGTGAAAGGTAAATAAGGAAAAGAAAATACAATATTTATAACATGTGTAAATAAAAGCATGTTTGCCTCAGTCAATACGTTAAAATAACCTGTTCTATTGGAAAAACCATCAGCTTATTCATTCTGTAAAAACAGATATAAGTAGAAATTAGACAGGTTCTTGAATTAAAAATACAGTCACATCCATAGTGTCCTGTAGTGTAGATTTATTATACTAGACATATAGGAGTCCCTTAGTGATTTACAGACAATACAAGTTTTTGTATGGCATACCCCAGTGATTCTCAACCACTGTGCCGCGACACTTTTATTTGTCGCCAAATTTTGCATATTTTTGTCATAAACTGTTTATGCAGTGTATTGTAGTAACTAAATAATTTTTATCTTTTTCTACGTGTGCTGCCAAATTCTGAAATCGTTAAATATGTGCCGCATCAAAAAAAGGTTGAGAATCACTAGCACAGCCAATCGAAGACTATGACAGCTCCAAAAAACTTTATTATAATGTTGAGATGATTACACACATTATTTGCAATACTAAGATAAAATAATAATTGATTACTTTGTACACACATGTTATAATGGTTTTTATAGTTTTGAATTGTTACCACTGTGATTATGTAGCGTCGTAACTTTAATTATTTTAATAGCAGTATAGTAGTAGGTACTGTGGATGAGGATATAATTTGAAGACAAAGGAAACCTTTAATAATTATTTTAAGATAGGTATGTCTAACGTCAATCGAACAGGATAAATAAAAATAATAACTAGCTAGCTAAGTAGCTAAGCTACTTTTCTAATAATAAAGTGGCTTATCTTTTTGTATTTACATAACTGAACATAAACCTTTACCTTCACATAAAAAACTTTACATATGTATATTTGCCGTTTTCTTTCGATAGGCGCTGTATTTGCTGCATTACACAGTCTGATAACTACGTATCTAGGAGTTATATCAGCCAAGGATTTTTTTAAGGGAATTATCAGCGTGACAATTGTAGAACATGCGAGATGTCTGCCTAGCGGAGCGTAGGTAAAAGCGAGCATCCGTGCGCAACCGCGAGCTATTCTTTTGCGCTGCGTAGTAAATCGTTCAGATTATAAATGCACAATAATAATTGTCGTTATTAAATTTTAAGATAAACCTTCTTTAGTTTATCGTTGATATTTTCATGATTAAACAGATAATTGCAACTAACGTGTTGTAAAATTGTAATGAAAATAAAAAATAAATGAAATACAAATGTAAAGATAAAATAAAACAATTTGAATTTTTAAATCAATTTTACTTAAAACAGATAACAATACTAACTTATAACTATTTAATAATTACATAATGATAATTGTAAATAACTTAAAATGAAATGCACATTAATGTACATCACTTCAAGATAAAAGCTATTATATTTACAAAAATACACTGGCAGGGTAACATTCCATCGTGTTTAACGACAAAAAGATATCTAAAAATAGACAATACGATTGTTTAATTTGTTCTACTAAGGAAGTTAAGACACATATACGTATAGGTTTAATGTTTAAAATTGAGACCTATAAAATAAAATTCAATAAAAACAAAAACAGATCTAAAGTAAGATGTTCTTGGAAAACTTAATAGTATTTTAGCAATTTCCAATTCTTTTGCAATATGTAAAATAATCCCTATGATCATGATCGTCCTCAAACTCATTGTCACGGTACCTGTAACGGTTGTACTCTGAAGACGGTTTCACGTAGCGACGCTGGTCTCTTTCGCGCGAAGAACTCGGTCTTCTCTGCGGTCTTCTTGTCTTACCGCGCTCCTGGTGAGACATCCTTGATGGTCTTCGCAAACGACTGTGTGGGCTGACAAAAAGACGTTAAATTCGCCGATTAAAGTTTAAAAATGCATTTTATTCAGTGACATAACTTCGACTCACGCATAACTTCACAACTGTTAATATTTATTGGTCTCATAAATATGTAATATGTGATACAAATTGGTGTGTTATGCGCGTAAATGTCACCGCGTTCGAATCTTTATCCATTTAACCGGGTGCAATAAAAATGCTTGAATACATTACGAGCATGCAAATAAATTGTTAAATAAATAATTATGAATGCGACATATGTAGCTCTTGTCATATATTAATAACACAATATTACAGCATGTTAACGATTTCACTTTTAAAAGTGTAACAAATGAGATGTTGCAAGAAAACCCATCTTTTATACTTTCCATAAGATCTATAGAAACCTTGTACGTTTTGTTTTATTTTAAGAATTTAATATCTATTTTCTGCAAGTAAATCGGTTATTGACTGCAGGATTGAACACTAGCCTTATACATATACAGTAACTAAGGCAAAATCTATTAAGTTTTTTACGAAATGATGTATCCGAAAACTTACCTTTTTGGTCGTTTGTAAACGACATTGCTGCTCTCTGGTCGTGGGAAGTAATCATCTTCGTCATGGTCATCGTACTCTTCGCGATAGGCAGACGGGCGCGAGTGGTGGAACACTGGTCGTACTTGAGGTATTGCTACAGGGTACGGCTTCACTACTGGTACTGGTACCTTAAATAGTCGTAAGAAAATGCAGGTTATAAATTGAACCAGGGCCACTGTTACTTAAAGAAAATTTATTTTTACGTAAAAATTACATCGTCAATAACGTCGAAATATAATTCCCTGAAAACGTTAGGGAATGCATTACTATTATTTTATAGGTTTAGATGGATGTTTGTTAAAAGGTTTCGCCTAAACCGGTGAACGTATCTTTGTGTAATTTGGTACAGATGTAGAACTTGGGCTGGAGAACTATGGAATAAATAATTTATTTATCAATGCCGCATTGACGGAGTAACGGGCGACAGTTATCAATATATAAAGGTGCTTAAAATTAAAATAAACAGCGATGTTAACTACAGTGATAATCTACACAAAATCTCAGTGTGCAATTCCAAGCATAATGTGACGAAAAATCTACAAACTTAATGTGCATTTAAATTGTATTATTAACTTACAACGATTGAGATGAGATTAATGCAAAATGCAGAATAACTTCTAATTAACGCATTACAGTTCATTAAAATGGCACGCACGAGTTATACAACAAGTACAGGTGAACGACTTCTTGGGGTTTCATTTCACTGCAAAATTTTTAATCACGCAATTTAATCACGAGAAGTTATTTTGCAAAGAAGCTTTCATATTATATTTTACCCAATTATCTAAGGATTTTAGATATTTCTTTCTATCATTATGATTCAAAAGGTTATTCGGGGAATCATTTCATATCAAATCTCTCCTGGATGTGTAAAAAATAGTACTGTACAGTACAGCCCTAAGATAAAAAAATTGTAAGTATATCAATGCGCACACTACCTGTTTTACAACAGGCACGGGCACCAGTTTTTCAACGGGATAGGGAACCTTTTTGTAGACTGGGTACGGTACCGGCTTCTCTATTGGTACGGCCACCTCCTGCATTATTGGTACGGCGACGGGTTTTGCTACTGGTACACGGACCGGATAAGGTTGAGGCACTGGCACTATCACAGGATGTGGTACTTCTATCTGTAAAATGATCCCTGATAGAAAAACTACCGTCACCGTCTTTCGTGCAATAAACGAAGTTGAAGAATGTAATTATGCATAATTAAATGTGATTGAGGAACATAGGAAACAATTATAGCGTTAAATTCATTGGTATGATCATGCTAAGCAATTAGTAGACTTTTTCGCTAATTTACTTTGAATAAAAAAACTGCATAATAATGTTGTGCATGTTAGTGTTTGACAAGTTTCATTGAACAGAAGAAATTGCAAATGATAATTCCTAAAGAAATATGTAACTTGATCTTGTATTTATTTTTAACATATAATTTATTTATTATTAAATATTGAAGTAGAATAATAAGATGAGATAACCGTTGAGTAATAAAAGTAAGCGCATGTTGATTTTAAATTTCTTAGTTTTCCCTCTACTAGAATCCATCACGCGTTGTGTTAATGACCAAGATGACGCGGGAAAATTAGTGCAAGACGCGCATCGATAGCCGCCGATCCGCATTCCATGCTATGCGCTTTTTGCTTAATAAAAACATCAAATCACCTGGTGGCAACATCTCTATATGATTAAACTATGTGAAATTGTTAACCTACAAACCATGGACCACTTACTTGATATGGATTCACGGAGTGCACCTGTTTTACTTCAGAAGCTTCATAGTCATAATTTGGTGTATCTCTATATTTTGTTTTTATATAATCTTCTCTCCATTTCTCTACAGCTGCCTTAAAACTTTCATCAGAGTCCTCGTTTCCATGATATTGAAATGTTGGTAGGTACGAAGGATGAGAGGTATCGTGATTTCTTAATCCTAGTAAATCCTCCTCTGATTTAAATCTGTTGTTGTATTTTTCTTTGTTCCATTCATGGTTGTAAGAATTAAATGTATTATATTTCTTGCTATAAGCGGCCCAGTCCTGAGCGACGCTATCAGAATCCTTTTCGAACCTATAATTGTTGGGCCTTTTAGGTATGTGAACATAGTCGTAGTTTTCTTCTGCTTCTTGTGTCGGTTTATAATGTGTTTTATAGGACGAGTAATCAGAGTTCTTAAAAATGCTACCCCAATTAGTAGATGATGATGGTACTGTGCCATACAAATTTTTAAACTTATTTAAATATTCTTCGGACGGGTTATACGAGTTCACATTATTTTGAGGTAAAGCATCTTTAATATCAGTGTAAAGATGTTTGATGCCCGGCGTAGATTTTATATTTGAATAATCATTTTGCGGATAATGATAATTAGAATAATCAATGTTATTGCTGCTTAATGGAATCAGTTCGTCAGTATTAGAATTGTATTGGTTCTTGGGTTCGCTGTCATCGGCTTTAAAACTGGTGGTACTAAAATTATTCGCATATTCGTAGGCTTTAAAAATGTTATTTGAGTGTTTCTTGTCGTTGTTGTCAGTTGTCCATAGTTTATTCTTTCCCGTTTCTTTGTAATCGTAATTCAAATTTTTACTTTTTCCATTATATTTAGAGTTGGTATATTTGTTAGTAAAACCTTGATAAGAGGTTGGAACTTCTTTGGTTTCGACATTATTTTTTAAAACATTTTTAAAGCCTGGAGACATTTTAATGAGTTTATTTGCTTTATCTTCATAAGACTGAAGCGTGTCGGCACCTCCAGTATTGGCAAATGAATTAAATGTATCTAATGGTTTAGACATAACTAGAGAATGTTTGTTTTCAGTTTCTAATGTATCATACTGCTTGGGATTTGTAAAATCTAATACTTTGGGAAAATTTAACAAACCTTGTGAATTAACTGGAGCAGACTTCATTGAGTTTTCTACTTCTTGAGTTGGATAAGTCGTATAATCATATAGATTTTGGTTTGAGTTAACCGAACCTCCGTGTAACGGTTTATTATCGTTATAATAATTAGAATTTTCAAAATTTGAGGATTTGTAATTGTTATACGATTCACTATTTACTACTTCAGAATTATTATAACCATTGAATGAAATGTTTCTATTGTTGTAGTTTATTTTTGTTCCGTACACGGGATTGTTATTATTTTCTGAACCTCTATTGTAGTTCCCATTTGGATTTATATTTATGGTGTCTTCTGATTTAAAGTTTGAAGATCTATAAAAACTTGCAGGATTAAATTGTACTGTATTTGATTGTTGTACACCTTCTGAATTTGGAAACGGTTCTCCGTTGTAAGATTGTGAATTACTGGTAAAATCTGGATCTGGCGCCGATGGGAAGGCAGGAGCATACAACTTCTCTGACGATTCCTTGTATTTGTTGTGATAATTCGGGTATTCCGGAGAAGTCGGCACGAAGGCATCGCGAGATGTGACGTCGTTGAATCCGAATGTTGAATACGTTAATACGCTTGGTTGTGGCGCTGGGCTTTCTGTCGTCGTTTGCTTGGTTTTCCTTTGTTTTTTTGCATCCACATTTTGAACTATTAAAACTAAAAGGGTTACAATTACTATTCTACTGTACATTTTAGTCCCGGCTTTGCTACGCAAAAGCTATGAACATCGTTCGTATGCGTCGTTATTGTCTGATGTTCAATTAGTAACTAAATGTGTAGGCAAGGCGTGTGTTCGGATCACTGCTGGATGGTGGTTCTGACCACCGCACGAGTCGTTATTGCGATGCTCCTGCGAAAACGAAAGCGTTCACGCTCCACCTACCCTACAATTTTCTAGCGATCATTATCACCCGCGGGTTCGATGCGTTGTATTGTCGTGACGTACACTTGTTGCTTATTCCTTCCGGCATTTTGTACGATAATTAATTGTCACTTAAATAAAGACAAATTAGTTATAACTGCTAATTTCCACTGCTGAAATACTTATACAAAACGACTATCTCCATTTTTAATAAACAGTATGATAGGGATGACAATATAACAGGTAAATATGAATTGTATTGTACGCTTATGATTAATTTTATTTGGACACGTTTTACTCTATTGATGTTAAGATTTTACTGCGGTTAATATGAAAATGGACGTGTAATGTTCACCAATTCAAAGATTCTTAACCAGCTCTTCCGTGTCATTAAAGCGAGGCTTAGTTATTGAAAGCAATAAATAATGTGGTTTCTAGACCCCAACTTAGCTGTAAACGATGTCACAGAAATAAAACTACGAAATTCTAAAACACTTTTATTGGTCTAGGTAAATTACCAAAATGTGATACAGTGTCTATGATCGTCAACTTTATTACGCAGATTAAATCACTTAAAATGCTAGAGTTTTTACTTTCTTCGTATAACATCGAAGTCAATGGCCACGACTTATCCGTAAACAGCAGTTTACAGGGATGACTCTTTGTACTAAGTATCTAAATACAAACATATAACATAAATACAATATCAAATAAACAAAAAGAAGTGAAAGGTTAACGAGTGGAATGATACATAATTTTGATAATACGCAAGATCGGATTTACCAACACATTAAAGCCAGAAATTTTGAAGAAAAAACAGTTTTGATGAAAATTTATTAAAATACCAAAACTGTACTTTTTAAAAAAATTAAGTTGTTGGCTTAGCAGTAGACATTCGGGTCAAATCATTCTTCGTATTAAATAAAAATAAAAAACAATATTAAAAAAGATAATTGACAACTGTGAATATTTATTTTAGTTTAATTAAAGAAAAATAAAGCAAAGTAAAGTCTTGAAATAAATTGATACTATTTTTGTAATACCATTAAATATGATAAATAACTTTGGATCTAGAATTCTTTGATAAATAAATATTTTAAATTTATTAACTCGGGATATAAAAGTTTGTTTCCGTAAATTGAAAGTGGTGCAGTTTTTCTAAATAATTTGGATTAATCTGACCTTGCTTATACATATATTCTTATTTTATATTCATATCAAATAATACTCTGAAAATCAACAACATGATATAAATAGGCACGACGGAAAGAACAGAATTAATTTCTAAATCTAGATAATATCCAAAATTATTTGTAACACAAAACCTTTAAAGCTTTATACGAAGACAGAAAGGAAGATTATAATATTTAAGGTCGCTTATGAGTACTCTATATCTATTTCTTTAGGAAAACGAATATTTTTAAGAGATTCTTTGTGTAGGTGACAAACGGTTCTACGGTGTATTTAGTGAACAGAGAAGTTTCCATATTGAACAAGAGACAAATACTGGGAAAAAATCAATTTAAATAACTATACTTGTTTAATCATGACAATCTTGTGGACAAATAATATAGTCAGTTTGTTATAGTGATATACTTTTTTGCCCAAAGTATCGATAAAATTAAGTCAAGTATAGATTAAGTTGAAAATTTGTATATGGTCCTTGTTCAATATGGAGAAAAAATATAAGAGATATATTTAAAAAATTCTATAGAATATTTATTACGTTTTAGACAATAGGGAATCTATAGACGTTACATAAATATATAAAAATATTTTCATCTATTATCATGAACACTTTAATATCAAGTAGCTACTGGTCGACTATAAATTTATTTGGTAAATATGAAGAATTGTAAGTTGGATATTTAAATATTCAAAAATCTGTGAGTAAATAAATTATGGGTTTCAAATATTTTCCTAAATATCATAATTATATTTTTCAATGTAATGTCATAAGATCTCTACTCTGTTAATAGAATATGAAAGTCCTTATTAGTAAATATCTAAACTGTAACTTGAAAGTCCAACATGTGACTACCATCTAAAGCAGTGTTTTTCAAAATATGGGTTGAAAACCCCTGGCGATTCACAAACCTATGTAAGGGGTTCAAGAAACCACGACAATTTTCAATATTTACCAATAGCGAGTTACTAATTAAATGGGAGACTTTTTACGTCATTAGTCCCAAATAATTTGCTATAGCAAAGTTATTAAGGTTGAAAAACACTGATCTAAAATAATTTACTGTTATAAAATACAAACTACACGAATCATTAAAACTGTTAATAAACTATTTGAAATATAGTACTACATTGAAGGAGACCAACGATAGTAAAGGTATACAAACGAACTACGCCAGTGTCAAGTAAGAGACGTTAAAAAGTTTAGAAAAATATTTTCTCTTATGCGAAGTCGACACTTACCCTTAACATTATTACAGCTCAAGCAGTCGATTCCTCAGTCAATGATTGTTCGATTAGTTACGTAGATTTGGGATTAAATGTAAAATGGTAACAAACTATAGCTTTGCCGTCCTCCCGTGTCCATTCTTAAAACTACGTGAACAAAAACTTAAATGCATAGACGAGGATTTTTATGGAAGCCTAAACACTAATAAGCAATTCAAAATTATGTTTCTCACTCTATAATCTTGGAATAATATGGGTTTATTGAATAAAACGGTTACTATAGAGTGTACAAAGTCCTGTCTATGAATTTAAATCTTTGTATAAGGTACAATAAAAATAAACAAAATTAATGATACACACGAAAATAACTAAAACGCTTAATCGTTTTTTTGATATTTTTGTGACACTTTTAGTGACTTAGTTTCGATGATTACGTTAAACAATATCAACTTTCCTAACCTACAAATTATTTAAAGAAAATCGACGCCTACCTAAAAGCTTTGCTGACAAAGCGTTGGTATTTAAAATAAACGCAATTCTATCATTGCTATTAAATAATCTAAAATATTGTGATGTTTCGATTTGATTATAATAAACCAACAATATTTTTCTTACATCTTTGTCTGTTCTGTAGTTTCTTAATAACAAAACTTATAAATACATTTCTTGAAATCTGCTGCCGCCACATGTAAATAGAGATGATTGGTGATTATGAAAGTTTGGATACACCATATATCAATATCGTATGAATATTTTAAAATAAAGGACTTATATTTAAATCCCAAAATCTTTAGAAAACCACGTGGCAAAGAAAAAATTAATTAAAACTATCAAATTCTGATTATTTTTTCCTAGTAAATCTGGTATGTGACTAGAAAAAATTAACACCGTCTTGAAGAAAACGTTTGGAAAAAGATTACAATGCGCTGATCACAAAAAAAAAAAAGCGATATCGATATTTGCGCATCACCGATCATCCCTAACACACTCGCCATCTATGAAGAGCTTATAGTATCTAGTAGACAATGTTTGTAAGATCTCACGATAGATGGCGTACTAAGTGAGAAAACACGACGAATATTTTAAAAAGTTAATAAAGTTATTTTCGCACTACATTTCTATAAAGGATGTTTAGTTATAACATGTTATTATAAATGGTTTAGGGTTGCTACGCAATGTAAATTAAATAATGATTAATTAAGGTATTTAATGCGCGGAGGCGGCGGGCGAGGGCGCGGCGTGTCGCAGGCGCGCTCGTATCTCTTGCAGCGTGGGGTTGGTCGCGGGGTCGATTTCTTCTGCACTCTGTTCTGCTTGTTCTAAACGACGAGCACGTTCTGCTATCGCTCTTTCTAATTCTGAAAAGGGCAAGAAATGTTTCAATTACTATACCACAGTAACGCAGTAATGTTAAATTTACATTATCCCAATAAAGCTGTCGAATCGGTGCTGGATTACGATTGGAAATGTGTAATCTCACACTGGAATATACATATGGATCCAGGGTTTAAATCCAGAATTGAATTCGATCGCTGTACTGGAAATAAAATCTATCTATACTAACATTATAAAGTAGAAAGATTCGTATTTTTATATGTATTGAAATAACTCAAAAACTACTGGGCCGATTTAAAAATTCTTTTTCCATTAAAGGCTACCTTATCAATTAGTAAAATAGGCTATATATTTTATTATTTTTAATTTCATGCGAACGAAGTCGGAAGCAATAGATAGCTTTTCTTAAATGCCAATGTATATCAGATCTTTAATGTTACGTTGATTCAAATTTCTCTGTGACGTCACTATTACGTAGTACATTTACTACGTTTTAATATCTCATAAAAATGCAGGTCGGCAATGCGGCGCAGTACTCGACGTGCATGGAAATGCGTAATTATAATACTCTTCCATATGCACATACACATCTTTACTTCTGCATACTAACGGTACAGTTATCTGAACGGTATTCAATACTATGAAACACTGTAACTTTTACTACCATTCAAAACTACTGCATGAATATTTTCATTGAAATTTGAAAAATGTGCACAAAGCTCTATTCATCGACGTACGTTAAACTTATTTGTTGTGAGCTTTGAAGTTAAGATATTAGTTTTTCTCGCAAAGTTATTTTGTGTGACGTTAAACGAATTTCAGACATCTTGACGTAAAAGTTTTCTAGTTAGAAGTTAAAGCTATATAAAATTTAGTCTTTATAGCAGATTTAGCCACAATATTCATTTAATATAACTTTTATATTACTCATGAACTATAAATATCTAACATATGTACCGCGCCTTTGGAAATATAATAAATTACCAGAATGTCCGGAGTCTATTTCCATTATTCTTCCTAACGTTGGCCATTAACGTAATAAATACAGACTTTAGTATCGCAAGAGCGATAAATTGTCATTGTTTATTTATTTAACATTCGAAGTAAAACAGAAGGTCATTTTATAGAATACAGTATTAAAAGCCAAAAAAATTATCGCAAAAACAAAATAAGATCGAATTTTAATTTTATTTACTAGCTTTCACTAGTGACTCCGTCCGTGTGAAATTAAAAAAAAAGTGAGTAGACTATCATATGAGTTCTTCCACATTCGTTCAGCTGTTTAGGCTACAAACTCTAACAAACATCCATCCATCTAAACTTTCGCATTTATCATATTAGTAAGATTTCGAAACAGTAACTTAAGTTGAACTTTTATGGGTTAATTTTAATGTATCGAAAAATAATTGATATCACATGATAATTACAATATAATTGCTATGGAGCCAACAACAAGCATCTATATTAACAGAGACATCAAAACGAAAAGCGGAACACGTTTCATAATTTCAGTCTAGTTTTCTAAAAATCTCATAGTTCTTTGTAACTCGTCACTGAGCTCCAATAGCGATTAGTAGACAATCGGGCGTCAGTTCTATAGGCTTTGCACTTGTTTGAAGAACTGCAAGTTTCTTGTCTCATCTTAAGCTCCGAATGACCTACTATTACTGTGAAAAGTAAGACATCTCTACTTATGTACAATTTGCTTCCTCGTTACATTAAGTGTACATAAATGCGTCGTTTATACGAAAAACTTACGAGCATTTTGAAAAGGTACAGTATAATAGAAACGTTACAAAAAACACGTTACATTTGTATGTTACATAAATTAGAATTTGATTGCAAAGTTAATTTAATATCTGTATCGTAGAAATGTGTTCAATATTGCTCAAGAAGTTAAATTTGTTGAAGTACAAATACACTTGAGATATCTGCCGTGTGACAGTGAAGCGTACTGTTATTACGTACACGGTTGTTGTAAAGAAAGATAACATACCTTGATTAGATAAATAGAAACAAATGTTAATGGAGTATCCTTGAAAAAGAAAATCCAAACGTCAACAAGAAAATACTTTTGTATTTATAATCACACGTCATACAAGTATTATAAATGCGAAAGTTTAGATGACTGGAATGTTTGTTGGAGTTTGTAGCCTAAACGGCTGAACGGGTTTAGATGTAATTTGGTATAGATGTAGAGTCTGGTCTGAAAGAAAACATAGAATACTCACTTTTCTTTTTTTAATTTCAGTTTTAATATATTTCGTCCATAGTAACATGTCACAGCAAACACTTAAACGGGGTCGCTCATAAAGCCACAAATTATTTTTATGACGTACATTTACAAAACTTCGTAAAGTGCAAAGTTTATAAACGTTTCCCCTGCGATGTCAACCAGCATTATCCGTTATGTCTCTAGGTAACTTATCTTTAGTATGATGGTGAATTATAGGAAGTAAACATTTTCCTCGCATTGTGCATAAATAACGTCTTTGCAACGATTGTATTTTAATGTTGCTATGTAAGCGGTACTAAATAGTTTCTCCCACGATCAAGCGATCGGATAAACGGGAAGCGAGCAAGCCATTTCACTTTCATCCAACCTTGGTCGATGACATGCGGACACACTGTATAAACAAACCACTCAAGTTTGACACCAGGAGTAAACATTTACAACTTTTCCATAATTTTGTATTTTTTACGTATCGTGCAAGTCGTCTAAAACGTGTACTCCACAACTAAAAAGAGTCGAAATAAAAAAAAATGTTTAATTTTACTTAACTATCGGACATAATTACATATATCTAGGATAATACAAGTAATTACTTCAAGACATAAAATCTAATTACCTATAAAACAAAATGTAAACGCAGATGAAGTCTTACAAAATATTTCAAAGCAAAAAATACCAGTACGTTTAGCGAGTTGTTAGTAAAAAACAATAACGTGTGCAGTTTGACGAGGTCGTCGGCCGCAAACTGCACCTGCGAGAGACGGACGAAGTGCGCGCCCGAATATGCAACGGGAACAAAACGTCTGCGAATCGTTTTAACGCACAATAGAAAATAGATTCTATACAAAAACCGCGACTCTTAAACAAGAACTGAACGACCTTGTCAAGGAATCTCGCTGTAAATAGAATCGAGACAGGTTTTAGGAACTATAAATAATTTTAACCCGTTACATAGCTCTGTTGTCGGAATTTGCTGCAACTTAGCTAACAAAGTGACAATATTTCTTGCTGGACTAATAAGGTTTACAGTAAAGTAATTTGTATGAAGGTCTACACTGCCCACTATTAATTATTAATCGAGCTTAAAGGTAACTTTGGAATGGCGTAGTAATAGTTAATTGTTTTTAATTAATTCTTAGTAATTGAGACGTCAATTGTTAAAATAATGACCTTAATTTAAACATCTCTTAAAAATCTTTTTTTACTTTATCGTTTTCTTTAAACATAAAAATATGTAAATCATTTCATATTACGTAATATTTTATACAGAAAACTGTAGGCAATGAAGTGCACCGGACACGACGCGCTTCGAACTCGGCCATTCAATCATAGCATCAACTGCAACCGCATTGTATTGTACTGAATACAGCGCCAACACGAATACATTTCTCGTTATGGAAATGGCAAACGCGTTTACTCAGCTCGTGCATACGCGGTGCCGTAATGTCTCGCTGCTATTTTAAAATACGTGATATTTTTATATTATTTTGATAAACGCATTTTTAGTAAAAGCAGCGTTTTCTCACATTAACCGATTCTTATACGACTGCAACTTATGACTTATAAATATTCTTGATTTATGATAAAAAGTGTAAATATTTTGCGGAAATGAAATAAGGTGCTTTAATAGGAACGTAATTTCCGCATATTAATATTAAGAAAGCTGTAAATCGTTCTCAAGATTAATTGTTTATAGTACCTACTTACGTAAGATAAAGTATAAAAGGTAAAACGTAAGAAAAATGCATTAATAACTGTATTATTATTTATGCATCGATGTCAAACACAATGCGAAGAACTATTTCCTCATAAATTAAATATGATATAAGTGTTACTTAAATGATCAGACGCATAATCGATTGCGATAATGGGAAAGGTTAGAGAAACGCTGTCACAATATCAACTTTAGTATATTGCAAAATCAAACTAACGTATTCTAAATATCTATTTAAAATCTCAACATGCAAAATAATATACTCATACGTATAATAATAGGATGCTGTTAAGAACATTAAAATCCTAACTTGTAATGCAATCCACCTTTGTCGTGATAAAAAATAAATTACCTACAAAAGTATCTGCTTCAACGTAAGCTATAGCCTTTGCTTAAGAAGATGCGCTTATCAAGTACTTATACTAAGATGGTAGATAGTAAAAATATTGTTGAATGTGTTGAAATCCGTCGTTAAGATTATTATATGTCATGATCCCTCCGCTCTAAAATTACATAGTTTTTTTTATAAATCCTTAAACATACTTTATACTCGCTTTTAACAAGGTTAAAGAACTTGACGTAATCACAGATAAAAAAGGATTAGAAAGGTCCCTTACCTGGCGTTTCTCTGTGCTCCTTTATTTGATTCATAAGCTGCTTCTCTTTGTGTTTTGATAACGCCTTTTCTAGTTCGCTCTTTTGATTAAGAACGTTTTTGCCTCTGAAAAATATGAACAAAAAATGATTAGCCACTACAGTTACAACACGATATATAAGTCCATTCTTATTGAATACTTTTGTTGCGTTCCTGATCTATTACTTTGTGAGAATCATTAAAAATAGAAGTTATCGCACATCGTAGCATCAAAGAATGTAATCCTAATTCTTCCTTATCATTAAACAAAAAGTGCTAGACGATCACTTGATAAAAGTAGATAATAGTACATCCAAGGCATTGTAAAAATATGCAAAACAAGCTTACGATAAAAGTAAATTTATTATTGTACTATAAATTAGAAAGAAATGTGACTATTATGAGTGAATAACATGGAAATGATCTCAGATTAAATTTGCGAAATACTTGTAATGCAATCTTTGTGTAAACAATCATCTAAGCAATATGAATCAAGAATTCGATGCACTCAGATGTTGAGACGACATAGATTTCACAACCTCATCTATCAACGTGGCAGTCAATGCAACATGCGTTATCATGATCGTTCCAATGATAGCTAAACGTATAGCTACCAATATAGATTTTCAAGAGTTGTTTCAAAGAATACACTTGAATTTACAAAATACAAGGATTTATTCAAACATTGTAATGTAAAATTTCTAACTACGATATTGGCCACAACTATTTCTAAGGACTTTAAGATTTTTTAAGTATTTCCTTAGGTATTGGGGTCATGCCTTCGTGTTCTTTTTTAATTACATTCTTATTTTCTATCATCAGAAAGTTCAGATACGACGCAATTTGGGATTCCCATTAGCATGAATAATTTAGCGATCTATTTAGTGTGAGACCTATTTACAAAATGTTGCAACGTTTTGGTACCAAGGACTACACGTGTTACGATGATAAGCTTTGTTCATTGCTTATAGCAGTTGCTCGCTTCTTCGCCAGCGTTAAATTAAAACATAGCTTTTTAATCATGCAAATTTTTTTTTAAATTGGTCTAGTAGTTTTCGATACATACAAAAAGACAAAAATACAAATCTTTCCTCTTTATAATATTAGTATAGCTTTGCGCTACTACGTGTAAAAAATAAGTTATTAAGAAAGTTCCTACTCATTAGTACAATATGAGTAATTTGCTATACTTTAATAAACAGTTATTGTCGAAATAATAAAACTTATTGAATTGAAATTTATTAAAACATCAGTAATTCTAATTGAACACGAGAAAACGGCTTTATTACGAAACAACTGATAATGTGTTGTGTAGCGCTATCTTATCGAGTGAATTTTGCTACCATATAAGGTAATGGTTCGTTCCACTGATAATGAAATAACATGCTAATTTTTTGTACATCAGTACATTGAATGTGACATTAAATTTACTAATTCCGTGATAAGCGTACAAGGCTTATGATAAACCCGAAGGCCTTGCACGTGTTTCAAGAGATATCATTCGTATGTCCTAAAACTAAATACCACAAGCAAGAACGTCTTATATTTATTGCTATACTGTTTCATTAAAATCAGATAATAGTCACATCATACTTCATACTAACATTATATGTAAATGCAAAAGTTTAGATGGATGGATGGATGTGTGTTAGAGTTTGTAGCCTAAACGGCTGAACGGGTTTCGAAGAAATTTGGCTTAAATGTAAAAGATAGTCTGGAAAAACTAGGCTACTTGCTTTTTTTAATTCCGAGCAGACAAAATCGCGGGCGACAGCTAGTTTATTATATTTTGTTGTAAAACCAGTTTAAGAAGTTTGAATAATGCTGTGATCTAAGATTAACAAAATGTGTTGGTATAAGACGTCTAAGTGGAAATTTCTTTCAGTTTTTTTTTCGTGTTCGGTGTTATATTTGTACAGAAAATACGATTGTTTCGAAAACATCGATACCACTTTAATAAACAACATTACGACATATTTGGTTTATGGTAAGGGTACCAGAAAAAGAAATTATAAAACATTTTTCTCCCGTATTTTCCCACCGCATGTGCATTATGACGTCAGAAGTCTAATAGTATTGTCCATTTGCTTGCAACATGTGTGACTACATCTCTGATGGACTTATTTATATTGTGTAGGTTTTTTTTTTATTTAAACACACAAATGTGTACACACCAATACAAAATAATAGTGCTATTGCTTCTTTAACTGGCATTGTTTTATTATATACTTTACACACTGTAACGAATTGATTAATATTTAAGAAAAAAATATTAATGATAATTATTTGAATGTAAATATTATTGTTGGTGGTTTCAACTAACTTTATTTCACTGATTCTTACTGAATCCTTCACAAATTATTGTTCTTGTTTAAACTTCATTTGTTGTAGATTAAGTAGATATAAGTTGTTGTAGTAATTTGATTGCAGTTAACAAAATTTGATTTATCAATTAAATACTCATGAATGTTCCGCGTTGACATGATATTTAGAGTGTCGTTTATATTGGACTCAGTTTTCAATTTAAAATTGATTGAATGTGGATCCGTTGAGTGGAAAATGTCGAGGCGAAATTGCGAAGCTGTTACCGTCACGATTTAATTCCAGCTAATTACTCAGACGCCGTCATCGTAGCCTTTATCGATCCAGTAACGGAAATGTAACTCTATTTGCTGGCCGGATTTAGGCCACCGTCTGTTGGCATATCTTGCGCTGAATCTAGGAAGCAATCAGCAAATTCTACGAAGCAAACAAGAAGTAATAGAGATGGCGTTCAGAAATGGGAACGGAGTAGTTCCATTTCTGTTTTATCAGAGCATCTTTTGCTTTTGTCAAGAATCGTATTTTACTATTACCATACATATTGCTATATGTGATTTGACGATTAACTTTGAACTTTAAAATCGATTACACTAGAGATGCCTATCCTGAAAGAAATTATAATTTAAATAGTATAAGGTGGCAAAAACGCAAGGGGGCAACAATTCGCCAAAATATCAAAGCTACCTCAGCCCATAGACATCAACATTTCATCATCATCTTTCTCCCGTAGGGTCGGCGCAACAGGTTTTTGTCCTCCACATAACTCTAACATCAACATTTCAATTACGTAAAAATCTATAAAAATAAATAGTAGTCTACAAAATAAACTTTATAAATCCGAAACCACACTAAAAGCTTCAATTTCATCTTTTTTTCGGCTATTTCCATTACAAAACTTTGATATAGATCAGACGAAACGTTTGAATTGAATTGTACTATGTCGTATTGTAGAATGCATATTCGTCAGTAAGCTGGGAATTATTTCCTTCCGAGTGGCGACGGGTGCGGAAATCACCGGGACGACGCGCCTCCACTGCGATAATGACGAGGAAATAAACTGATTCGAAATCAACTGTTTGTACCAATGTCCGCACCAGACTGTTGCAATTTAAAACCAATCGACAACATATTGCACAGTGCCAAACTGTTTGGGTATGGTTATGAAAGTTTTGGGTCATCCATTAAGTTTTGAGTCTAACTCAATTTAAATATTTTATTTTAGTTTGTTGTATGTATTTAGGAGAGAAACTGTTTTCTGCTGGTTTTTAATCAAATTTATGCGATGTAACTATTGCAACATGTGTGACATCGTGTTATAGGAGTTAGTGCTAAGAAAATCTCAACACTAACTCCTATAACACGTATTATAAACTAACTAAACACAATACAAATATGTACAATAATATGTGGGTCGCATAAATAATAGCTGGGTTGTTAACCAAACCATATCTTACAGTAGCTTGACAATGTGTGATAACATTACTTCTCGGAATTTAATAAACAACAATTCATCACATGAAGTTCATTAAAAACCACATTCTAGTATTGCCTGAATAAAATCCAATTTTGACATCTAAGACAGAGGTTCCCAACCTCGTAACCGCCACTAGACCGATATTTTAGAATGTGCGCTAGAGTACAAAAAGTTAGGGAACACCTCATCTAAGTTCTTAAACCCAACGTAAATTCCGGAGCGGGTAATTTACAAAAACTCTGGTATTACCAAGTAAGGTCATATTTCTTCAACCTAACTGTTTGGAACAGTATCCTTAATATATTTTGCTGATAAGTTTCTATTTAAATTATCTCAACATGTGTGGTAAAGAAGGACGCAGGCCGGGCACTGTGCCAAGGTAATATTAGCTTCATAAATTATTATTTATCGTATTGAAATCGACTTGTAACATCTTTTAATCCCATGGGTAAATGGAGAGCACAAAACACAGAGGGATAAAAAAATACTAGACTACTTCTTACTACAATAAATACATGACTAGAATATATTTTACATTTTTAAAAATTCCTGCCTTAATTGACTCAACTTTTCGTTTTCGTTGAGTCACAAAATCGAGAATAATTTTAAAACAATGCGTGCTATTATTCTAGAAAAATCTAACACTAACGACAATAAAAGTAAATAGCAAACATCTGGGAGCGCTGCTGAGTCCCGCCAAGGCAATTAATAATTTATTCTTCTAACAGGAACATGTTCTTATATCTCTCAGATCGAATGTGCGCGTTGTGTGTGTAAGGACGACAGATGTTCAATGATGAGTTCACAGGAGGCTGGCAGGATGCGTCGCACCTGTGCCTCGCATCCCGACCAAATGACGGCAAAGCAAAAAACATACAAAACATTTCTACGAATCGAACGATAGCTTATGAAAGCGATAAATAGAGGAAGTGAGTTTGCGACTAAGAATTTCCGAATATTGATGTATCCATATTGAAACTGAATAAGGTAAAACTGTTTTTTATGCGTCAGTGGTTTCGTGTTTTAGACATATTGATTGAATGAATGTAGAAAGATCAAGGAAAAGCTACAAACGATATTAAGTGGTAGTGTTCGTAAAGAATACAAGTTAGGAAAGTATGGTAAAGTTTAGCGAACACATTGACAAAACAAGATATATAGTGGACCCGTATGTAATGGATACTGTTGCGTAGATGTATGTAGATAATAAAACACAATCACTATATCCCATTAAGTTTGGCAAAGAAAGTTATTATTTTTAAAACATTGCTTGAATTCTAAAAAAAGTTTATTAATCAAGAATAGCAACATTTTTTTCTGTTTCAAAAGCGGAAGTAGCTCCGCAACATCAGCCAACATTTATTAAAGCAGAGTCTCATCTTCTCGTGAAAGGTACGCTACAGTAGAGAAAGGATTGTTCTCACAATGGACGAAAGTGCAGCGAACAAAGTACTGCATTTTAAATCAACTTGAAGTGTTAAATGGTCATTACTTACTTAAAAGTAACTAATGAAAGAAGTTACTTAAATCAGTATTAACAGATAAAAGCTAAAATACTTCCAAAATTTCTAAGGACCATCCTAAACGCGAAAGATGGTCGTAAAAAGATTCAAAACAGTTTTAACCACGGAATGTCACCTATCATATATAAAATATCACCTACATACATGAACCTCATATTTCGATTTTTGTTGCGCAAAACCTAAAACCCTTGGTTATTATTCAGGCGTCTACGTAATATGATCTGAACAAAGGCCGGCAAGGAGCCATGTCAAAGGTAACCGCATGACAATCGGGTCAGCGATCCCCGTGTCATAAGCTCCTTAGCGTGCAAACAAGATTGTTAAAGAAACGAATCCAGTAAAATGCACTTTTTACTCCATTTTTTGCGTAGTATATTATAGGCAATAATGACATTATCTTTAATAATTTCTGTTTATGATAATTATTCGTGCGTACCCGAGGTCTTTTTTTCTATTTCTAAAGTTGTTAATTAAGTTAATACTGTTGTTTTTAAATAAAATAAGTAATAAACTCATACTGCTTCAATTGGCATACTTAATGGTTAGTGAACAAATAAGAATGAAGTTGTAACTCACATCCTCTGGTTGAAGAGAAGCTCTCTATGGAGGTCCATGCGCTGCGGACTCTCGAGGCAGGGGTTGGGCAGGCGGCGGGGCGCGATTAGCCCCGCGCCCGCGCCCTCGCCCTCCTGCACCATCGCCACCTCGCTGGACAATGCGTACTCGTCTACCGTGGGCACAGGACCCACGACGATATGGCCCAACGCGCCGCTCTCTCTTGCTGCGAACAAATATTTTTCTTCATTATGATTTTGCATGGAGTTATGGCTATTGAAACGGCAATAAGAATATTTATTATAATTGCTTTATAATATTCAACAGTATGTATAAAAGATTGATACTAAAGATTTTAGACGTGTTATAAAAAATACGAAGTTCCAAGCAAAGAGGTCAATCAATTTTTCCAATTTCACAGCTACTATAAATAATCAAACACCAACCACATCATGAGAAAAACGACAAACCATATACTATTATAGTCATAACTGAATAAAAATATTTAGTTAAAAAAGAGAGAAGAGAAAATAAAATGTACCTATGTCACAAAATATATGTTATTACTATTATTATTACAAGCATATGTTTAATACATTTTTATGAATAAATATATACCAAAGGCATTTAAAGCACCAACATAAAAGCATTTTGCTAGTTAGTATTATTTGGATAAACAAAAGTTACATTTTAGTTTTGGTTATATGCACTAAGGAAATTGAAATAAGAGAGATACAATTTGAATTGACGTAGTAATCATAAATCGTATCGAAGGCCCATGCCCTTGTTTCACTCACGCGATCGTATGAATTATTCATACTTTTATTGGGCTATTTCATATTGATCTTCCGATTCTTAATGGAGCCTAAGCATTGTAGGTCAAGATAGAGTAGCTTCCTGCCAACAAATGATAACATAATCATATAACAAAGATCTATTGACTAACAAAAGTAATGTAAAGGGCTAACTGTTATTCTTAAGCACATAGTATTCGTATTTGTATAAATCTTTCGAACAAGTGCAAGTAACCTTTCGATTATAAGTACAAAAGTGTCGATTGATTAGGGACCGCTTACCGGTGTCAAAATTCGTCTGAACGGAATAGACGCTGTATTGTTTCTTAAAATGTTTAATGCACAAATTTCTATTAGTTCAAAATTATATATATAATATAATAGCTGCTGGCTTTTAGAAGATTTAATTAAAATTTCCATCATGCAAGGGTGATATTAACGAACAAGGACCTCTTGATCATATTGTACTTAAATTAAAAACTGTCAACGTAATTAAACTCGACAAGGAGCCTGAACTACGTCACACCAAATTAGTGCTAGCTACTATAGATTATTATGCGGAAAACCCTCTTGATTGACCCCAATTCGAAAAAGTAGTACAAATTTATCCATAACATGATAGAACGATTTATGTAACCATTACAAAAGACTAACACGGTTATTTGTGTGTTTTGAAAACTGATCGTAGGATGTTTTGGAATAAGAATAACATGGTCATAAATCTCGTTAATCACAAATTGATGGATCATTTACGATTCAGTAATCTAAAATTAAACATATTAAGAAATGACGGTTACTTTAAATGTGCCATTGGTTGTTAATATTTGGTCGTAGAGTTAACTAAGCCAATTTTTAAGATTAGCATTAGAGTGGTTATGGTAGTAACTTGTATGATTTGCAAAACAATCTGATCCTTTTAAGTAACTTCAAACAAACACCGTACGCAGAGACCAACGGAAGATAAATTGACAATTTAAATAGAGTTACGGGAGTACACTGGTTTTCATTGGCAAGATATATAGCGATTCATGAAGACAATCTGACAATAAATAGAACCGGTGTGTGCTAAGTCTTACACTGTGTATACTTATTCTTAGAAAATCATATGCCCATGGTTTTGCCGTAAAACTACCTGAACCTTTGTACTACCTTTGAGTCAATTATCTTTTTTCATTGTGCCATGGGAATTCCTTTAAATCACAGAACCGCTTGGTTTACCGTGTTCCGTTTTTGTTGTAGAGGTAGACAATGGTAATGTTGCAGTTTTTAATGTAACAGATATATGACACAGAAGTACGTAGATGACAATTACGTAAGCTACAAATACCGGTAAAAAATGTCACTGCATTTTTGCAAAACACGTATGAATTATAAAAATTGTACTTTAATTTATTCTTATGCATTTTTTAATTATGTAGTTGTAGATCATAAGAAAACTTATTTGAGTTCGTATGCGTATGAGGTCTTATGCTTCATATAGATATAAACTGGACTCATTATCCAGTTTGGCTGACTCAAAATCATCCAGTCCATAACGCATCAATCATTTCTCTCGCAATTCATTTCAACCGTCGCGACGTATAGCGCGATCTTGTATAAAATCGATTTGGTTGTTTAAAATGCAGAACGTATTGTTTTCATGACGCGACCTCCTTTTCAACGTAGCGTGATTGCGTTTCTGAGCCTAGGTTAACATTGTGCCCGTTATTTACCTATAGGTAAAGTATACTTTATAATAGTTATAAATGGAAACGTAATTCTCTGGATTATAAATTAATACCAAATTCTCATTTACATTTGTATTCAAAGTCTACCTTAGTATATTAATAATTAAAGGTTCTTTTAGCCGTTAGGTTAACCTTGGTTTTCTTTTTTAGCCGCACCTAGCCAATATCTGAATGGTGGTAATGTCAAAACATAAATTATTGGAATCGCTCATTTTCACACCTACACATTAGTTAATTGTTTGGGTCTCAGACCGATCCTTGACTCAATTTTATAAAAGATTTACATACTTCTTATTCAAAACGTTGTACTTTATTTTCTGCTTATTACCTTGTAGACAAACCATCATGCAATAAGTTGATGAATTCATATAACTGAAAAATTCATTACTCACTAAATTATATTTCAAAAGCACACCAGTGAATTGTTGGCTGAAACTCAATCCTTGGAACTATTACATTGCAGTTAAAATCCTGCTCGTTATCGCGCCGACCCCGTTCCAGCACTCATAGACATACGGTGTGCGAGGAAGTTATGAAATTTTAAAATTAATTTTTCAGGCTAGTTCCACAAACCTACGAATTAAAAAAATACAGTTGGAAACCAAAAAAACATGTAGTATTTTACTAACGAATACCTATTTTTCAAATTCGTATCAGGCCTTTTAAACTATTGTTAGTAAAGACCAAAACATGCGTAATTTTCAAATGTAAACTCCAAGTTCTAAACTATCACAACTTGCAAGGAAATACGATAACAATTACTGATTATTCACATTTGTCGTATGTCACCGGAAGTTGTGTAGCAATTCAAACGCATTAAATACTCATAACAATAAGCTAAGAGAAATTATATTTACTAACTCTAAAAATTCGTGCCGAAAGAAAACCGCTAACATGCAAGTTGACATATAAAAATATGAATCCTAGAGAAATACTTATGTTTCTATATTTAAAACTCTTATTTTTTTAACCAAAAAATACACGAATTTATCTAGAGTTCGAAAGGACTGGCATGCGTCGTGTTTCCGTCTGATTATGACGGGTGACTGATAAAGCTCCCATACAGTTCTTTCATTGTTATACCGCGACATGCGTAATATTATGTCACAAGAAATGATATGGCCCAATAAGAGACTTATATTAACCTAATAGACTTTTGTATAAAAAGTAAAGTAAGAATTGAGATAAATATACTGTATTTTCAATGCTCATTATGTATCATTTAAGTATGATTTATAACCGACTTATAAATGTAATGAAAAATATTACAATAACATTGGTCTTCCGTAATAAGGCGTTACGTAACTGTTGTCGCTTTAGTGAGATTACCGACCCGATCTTTATCTAACGATAATTCAGTTATGCGAAATTTAAATTATGTAAATTTACTGAGTGCGAAAGTAAAGACGCCATAGACTAACGTTTATGATCGTTATTTACTGTCTTAATTCTTATCATATAATGTTACGCATTATCGTTTTTATTATTTTTCGTAAATAAATGTTTATGATTTTGTATACTGCAATTTGGATGTTAGCCATGTTATGTTTTCTTTTTCATAACTACTAGAGAAAACGCAATAATTTATGGCTATGGGATTCAATTTATGTAGCTAAACAATACGACACATTCCGATTTTATGCTGCATCTGGATAAAATGTTCGTGAGAACTTATTTGCTTACTTTTGACAAGTTCTTAACCTATAACAATAACATACCAACCCCTCGCATCTCTTTGTTGACTTTCCCAATATGTCCGCCAGAACATCTGCCCCATACATCGGTGAGAAAACTATCGCATTTTTTTATTACCCATAAAATTATTTCTTTTTGGAATTTTTAAGTACATAAATTAGTAAGGTAATTAACTTTTAGTCCGCATGAGTTGGAAAACAAGAGAATAACGAATTATTGCATTTCACAAGCATTTTTATATTTCATTCCTAAAGTAAAATATTGATGTAGCAAATGGCTCCTTACTGTATGCCAATAAAAGTACTCGTATATTGAACTTCAAACCACAAAAGCTATTTCCAATTCCTTTATACTTTAATGGTACGAATGTATAAAAGAAATCTTTTGTGCAAAAATGAAAAAACTGTGTTTCCCGAACCCAAAGAGCGAAAATACGTAATGAATAAATAGCATTTAATATTTTTTTTCCGAATTATATTTGATTCTAGTCGTATATACCACATGACTGCACGTTCGTCGTAAGTTGATATTATTTCATCAAAATAAAACAAGATCTAATATTTTTGAACTGACTGAATGACACTATCAATTTGCTATATATTTACTAACGACATGCAACAATGTTATACACACACCTGTTATTCTATTCCATTCACGGTGACTTAGCAGGAGTCATACAAAAATCTATTTTTAGAAGACACCTCGATGAAACGTCGAATCTATTAAGAGTTTCATTTTGATTATTGAAGTTTTAGTTAATAGTTAACGTTTTGATATAATTTTATTCACAATTTAATGCTAATTAGACATACTTAATTAATAAACATACGTACATTTATGCTCGAAACGTAAGATGCTGTCGATTTTACAAAATCCTGGCACATATCTTATGCTTGTATGCATATAATCGAATTTGTGATTACGTTAAGATATTTCAATAGCTTATGTATATATTTATCTTTCATTAGCATATTACAAAACAAGAACATAATAAACTTAGATAAATATCT